CATATAATATGTAAATATGTGTGTACGTATTTATGTAAAAATACTACGATGAAGATAATATCAGCATATGCGCCTACTAGAGCTTACGACGATGATGCTGTAGAAGAATTCTATGATATGCTGGAAAGGGCAATAAGCAATTCTCCAAAAGGAACTTACATCGTGTGCGCTGGTGATTTCAATGCTCACCTAGGCCGAGGAAGATCCTGAAGAAAACTTTGTTGGACCATTCGGAATCCCAGGAAGGAATAATCGTGGCGAAGCTTTGGCCCAATTTTGTGAACGATCTCGATTAGCTGTGGCAAATTCGTACTTTCAAAAACGCAAAGGACGTCGATGGACATACCATACCCCGAATAGGCAGATGTACTATGAAATCGACTTCTTCCTGACCAATTGCCTGCGTCTTTTTCATAACGTGACGGTCATCGGAGAGTCGCATTTTAACATTGGTTCGGACCATCGAATAGTCAGAGCAACAATAGCAGTAAACTCAAAGAAGAGCGAAGACGACTGGCTGCGTACCATTCGCGACGATTTCGATATAGCTATCGAAGAAAGACTGAAAGCGCTCGCTCCCACTGTTGACTTTTCCGCAGGAAACATGGAAATGCACTCACCAGATACGAAAAAGCGTCTCTGCCCTTAGAACTGATATCAAAAATGCTTCTCAGCACGTTCAAGGAAACCAAGAAAACGATTATTGGCAATAGGAAAAGAAGTGGGAGAAACTTTGACCCCGGTGGCCCGAACTGTATTGAACAAGGCTATACGATACAGAGTCAAGAATGATTATAAAGAATATGCAGCACGAAGAGCGCGAGAAGCAGCCGAAAAGTCGGCAAGTATCAAGAAGACATTTATCAGCACTCGCCTGAAAACAATCACTCCTGACTATTAACGAAATCAGACGGCTCTGTTGTGCGAAATCGAAAGGACATTGGAGAGGAGATACAAAGCTTTTTCCATCTAGTTTTTCGTAGAACGCCATGTGGTTTGCTGATAGCTGAAATCCTTTCACATTACAAAGTTCGATTGCCAGTAGTCCTCCTTATGAAAAAATAGTGCTCTTTACACATATCACGTCATGTTCGTCACTGCCTTTTTTAAGAGATTCATCTGAGATACTCAAGCTCAAGGGCAAGACGCTGTGAAAATCTGTGAGAAGCGATTCTAAATGTTCCGCCAGCGTGACTACAGCCTCAAAAATCAACCACTTCCCGAGCACCAACTGACCGCAGATATTGAACGCATCCAAAAGCTCAGTGCAAACAACCACTGGGCCAGTACCGTCAAATTGCAGTGGACTTCCAGCCCAGTGCTACATAAGTCGTACCCTGAGTCACGGGAAATTGTGCAAGTAGGGAAGACGTAATCCCTACGAGTTAAGATTGCTCGTTGGACACGTGTTAACCAATGTATCCTCCGGAGTTTGCTTTCTAAGAGTCGTAGTTTCGATTATCTCGACGGGGAGTCTTTGGAGTTGAGAGTGCTCAGTCAATTTGAGCAATAAACGGAGGCAAGAGCAACGACAGCGGGATCCAAGAGGTGACCTCCATTCAAGGAAGACTGCAATTTTTTGTATTGCATCGTTACAGACTTGAACCGACACCACCACTGCTAGCGCAGACCGCTTTTGTTTCATCTGCGTAGACTTGTTTCGGATATCGCAATGAGACGAGAGAGAGACTACATGGACTTACCACGAGTCCCTCTACCACACCTGAGGTCTTCAACAGGACTTTAGCGCTTGCCTCTAGCGTAGGTCGTCCTCATAATAATTCCATAGATGTTTTCTTTAAGAATCAGATTTGAATTCAGCTAGCCCGAGTACAGTACTGTTGCACAATGCAGTCCAAGCCCCATCCCTTGCTGGCAGCTCGGCATCTTGGTCGAATTGTTTGATTCTTTTGTGGCCAGGCGAGGTTGATAAGCAGAACCTTTTATGTAGCCTGTTCCCCTCGGATGCTAGGAGAGCTCAAAGCTTTTTAATTCCGTGAGGTAAGCGACCAAGCACCTTCTCCTCTAAAGTTCCGATGTCGTATGAGAAATGCAATCAATGGAATGAAAATGGAAACACGATAAAAAAAACTCTGATGTCCAAACCCTAAAGCCCAAACTTTAAAAGCATCAAAGGTTACTAGGTTACCTGTTGTAAAAACCCACGAATGCCGATGCTCTCAAGTTTTATCAGAAGTTTGGACCTAGACACTGTATTGAAGGCTTTAGACAAATCAAAATCTACTATGTTAACTTTCTGGCCGGAACTGAAGGCTCCCTTCCAAAAGTGTGTACAATCAGTTGACAGTGTATACATCGAAGACCCAGGGAGGAACCCATGTTGTTCGGCAGGACGCATTTCAGTTGAAAAGTCCAGTCAAGCAATAGGCTGTTGACAGTTTTCTCCAAAAAATTCAACGGTGTCGGCAGTATACTTATGGGTCGGAAACTAGAAATGAGCTTGCAATCATTTATTTTAGGGATGGGACATGATTATCGCATATTTCCAGATAGATGGAACTTGCCCTCAGTTGAAACGACATGTTATAAATGTGAGCAAGAGGAAGAGCTAACTCTTTTGCAAAAAAATTTGAAAATAGTTTTGGGATACCAGATGTCAGGGAAAGGGAGGATTTGGAGCAAAGGATTTTATGTACCTTTCTTAGCGTGGTAATTGGGATTTGCAATCTCTCTTTTGTAGGTAGTAGCATAGTCTGATTCCTTTCTGCATGGGGTACAAAAATACTTTTAAAATAATCAGCACGCGCTTCGGCCTTGCTTTAATTGGTAGTACTTTTCCACACCTGGTCCTTCTAACGCACGCGATACTGGCACTTGTTACGAAAGCATAGCACATACACACCGACAATCCGACACGCCAAAGTTGTGCTCCATGAAAGAAGTGAGCCATATGCTTTAAATTGCCTTTTTCAGCAATTTTTTGACTTTGCAGGCCAAGAAACGCTTTAAATGATGGTCTAGCTTTCTGTTGATTTCAGCAAGCACATCTGAATTCATGGGGTTTTCGGTATGCCAAAATATCCTTTCCCATTATGTGATTAGATTCACGATGTGTGAGTATCTCATCGTTTCCTTTTTGCGGCATTTCTGAGGATTCAATTGGTCAATTAAAGCAAGAATGATGTCACGAAATCTGGCATAAACATCGTCTAGGTTGACATAGCCGGAGAAGAACCTAAACCAGTCAATTTGTAAGAGTGATAAGCGATGGCATCCCTATTCATTTGGAGTGAAATCCCTAGAGGGGTAGTATGCTCCGCATGTTCAACATTCACCAGCGAAAATGCAATTATGTTGTGATCACCTGTATCACCTGTATCACCTGTCGTCCCGTTGATCATCGAATTGCTCGAGCGGGCGCCAGCAACGTCTCCATTCGTCCCTGTCGCGTGCAAGAGTTGTCCAGTGGATCCTCCTCGCTCGAGGGACACGAAGTCCTTCATTCCTTTCGTTCAGAGCTTTCGTGAAGAAGTCTGACCATCGGGCCGGCGGTCGTCCAGGTGTTCGTTTGACGTCCCGAGGGATCCAGTCGGTAACCGCTCTGGTCCAACGGTCATCGCAAAATCGCATGACGTGTCCGGCCCACCTTATCTTCGATTCCTTGGCGAAAACGGCAGCGTCCCTGATCTTCGATCGTTGGCGTAGTTCGGAACTCCGGATTCCCCTCTGCACTTGCGTGTATAGGGTTACTCCTAGCATCGTCCTCTCGACAGCGCGTTGGATAACGCTGACCGCATGCTCGTCCTGCCTGCGCAGAGTCCAAGTCTCTGAGGCGTAGGTTAGGGCAGGAAGGACAGCGGAATCGAAGAGGTGGGCACGGAGCCGGATGTTCTTCGTCTTCTTCACTACTCCCTCGATGTTCTTAACGCTCCCCAAGCCGCTCGTTTCCTCCTGCTCAGCTCTGGAGCTAGATCGTTCATCATATTGATTTCCCGACCTAGGTACACGTAGCTGGAGCATTCGGTGATGTTCGTTCCGTTGAGCGTGAATGGGGCATCAGGAACCAATCCGTTTCTCATAAACATCGTCTTCGTTAGGTTCAGCTGTAGACCAACCTTACCACAGGCGAACCACAGGCGCAGTCG